GAGGCGGGGAGAGGGTCGCCCCCTTTTCCCGGCCGGTGCCGCAGCCGCTTCCGGGCTCCCATCATGGGGTAGTGAGACGCGGGCGAGGAGCGATCCTGATACCCCTTCCCGCTCGCCCGGCCTCGGCCGCCTCCCCGAATCTCTGCGAAGCGGCATCAGCCTCCCCGGGGAGCGGCCGGGGGAGGCGCCGCGTTCATGTTCCGGGTCGCTGAGCCCAACCCGACCCGAGCTCAGGCGGCGAGAAAGAGCTGGTGAGGCCGGGCTGGGAGGGGCGGGGGCGGCGTGGTTTGAAGGCAGAAGCATGGCCGGGGAGGGAGGAGGCGCGGTGCCGAGGCAGGAGTGCGTGGGGGAGAACTGGGGGGGAAGGGAGGCCGAGGAGTGGCGTGTGCCCAGGGCATCGCTACCCCATTCCTGCCACGAGTGACTCCTCCTAGGGGCTCATATCCACGTGCCCCCAAATCCAATGGTGCCAGCTGTTTTACGTAAAACGTCGCTGCCGAGGTCTTATTTGATGTGTAGGGGGACAGCTCTAGTCAGGACGACGGGGCGGTGCGTGCGGAGGGGGAGAGGGAATTCCCTGCCCGTGTGCCCAGGGCATCGCTACCCCATTCCTGCCACGAGTGACTCCTCCTAGGGGCTCATATCCACGTGCCCCCAAATCCAATGGTGCCAGCTGTTTTACGTAAAACGTCGCTGCCGAGGTCTTATTTGATGTGTAGGGGGACAGCTCTAGTCAGGACGACGGGGCGGTGCGTGCGGAGGGGGAGAGGGAATTCCCTGCCTGCCCCAGGCTTGTCATTAGGGGGATCAACGCCCCCTTCTTCTCCCCAAACTATACTCAGGTCTCCTCTCCATTACTAAGCATTTCTATTCTCTTTTCTGAAACCCCCTCCCCCTTTGAACATCGGACAGTGGCTGCTGGTTACAACCAAATTTGTTTGGTATCCTTCTTCTAAAAGGGATTGAAGGATTGAACTATTGGCATACTTGGCATAAGGGATCTTTCACCACTCAGTCACCTGTTACTTTAAGGATGAACAGTGGGCTGCTTTTGGACCAATTCCCATAAGATACATGTATTCTTGCTAATAAAAATCCATTATCTCAAACTTGTTCATATTGTGTGTAACCTGAAGACCCTATCCCTTTGTGGTGGCTGCTTAGCAAGCTCACATCAAGACATAATCTCCACTTTGAAGATCTTAAGTTTTGTCCAAAACAAGACTGACAAGTGGGTGCAAACAATAGGCAGAAAAGAAAAGGGTAGCAATAATGTGTTCCCACATGATTGTTCTAATGTTATAGTTCCAAATTTATTTTATTTGTATTTTACAAGTAGAGTAAGGGGAAATTGACTAAATAGAAAAGGAAAGAAAGGGAAAATTGGTATATTTATGAGTGGAGGAGAAAATTGAAGTGGGAGGAAAGGCAAGCAAGCCACAGAGCATTGAAAGTATTTCACCTGCACCGGAAAGATCAGATGGGGATAGGCAGGTGAGGGACAAACAACCAGTTGGCAGCAACGTTGTTTGCAGTGTTGTTTTAGCTGTCTTGGTCTCAAAAAATTAGAGAGATGAGATGGGTGAGGTAATTCTTTTTATTGCACCAATTTATGTTGGCAAAAGTAACACGCTTTTGAGCAAACAGCTGGAAAGCTTGCTTCTTTGACAAAATTGATCCAGTAAAAAACATTACCTACTAGTGATGTAAAGGGTTAACCGGTTATCCTGTAAGTATCACCCTCTACTTGCGGCTTGGCCAACCTGGAGTAGTCCCCTGCTCAGTCTCTATGGTTATAGCTACACGACATAATTTTTGTCAACAAAACTTGGTAAACACCCAAATATCAACAAAACAAAAATCGCCAGAGGGTGTTCACACTTGCTCCCTCTATGGACAGATCATGGCCACATTGCTCATGCTGTCCATGATATTGCCCCAATGCACTATGGGCATGCATCCATACCCATAGTGCAGTGTGGTGTGAAGACAGTGCTGATCCCTACAAATCTTGGAATTCCCTCCAGGTTCTCCCACAGCATCCTTAGTTGCTGAGAGCCCATGTTGAGTAGCTCTATGGGCTCTCTGTGCTGAGGAATGTCAAAGCAGTACAACAGGCTGCCCCCTTTCTCCTGCAGCAGCAGTCTGTGTTCCTAGTGTAGGGCAGAACAGGAGCATTCTAATCAAACAGAGCAGCTCACTCAAGTGTCAGGTACTTCCCAGAGCTTTGAAAGGGGAGGGATGCATGCCTGCAGGGCAGCAGAGATCAAAATGCTTAGCAGAACCATCAGGGCAGGCATTGTGGGATACTGGCGGAAGTCAGGTTTGTCCACAAAACAAATAGTCTACACTCGCTCTATGTGGACCATAAAGGGAGGGGAAAAGAAAAAAGTCTGTCTTCCTCTAAGTGTTTTGTTGCTGAAATTGGGTGTCCCTCCGCAAAGTTGCTAAAAGGTAATTTTTGGGCACAAAAGTTAATAATGTAGACATAATTTGTGTGTTTCTCAGGCTTTGTCTACTACTAGCAATTGAGGAGCAAAGCTTTTATTGTTCACAGGTGCTTGACACCTCTCCTTACCATGGAGCCATGCCTTGGCAAGTGCTAGTGTAAACAATGCTTTGTGGTCCACTCACAGAGTTTACACCTCCCCACTTTCCTTTGTTGCTAAAAGCTGTTGTAGTGTAGATAAAAGCTTCAGGTTTCTTATCAGTAGATGCTACGATTTAGGGAAAGCTTGCATATTGGACATTTTTTTGGCTCTTCGATTATTCTGATAATGACATTGACATTCCAGCTGTATCATGATCCTTAGGTTTTTGCTGTTCCCCTATGTTTCACTCCATCGCTACTTATCTCTGGAAAAGAATAATGGCAGTTCTCATGTTCTTGAACAAGTGGTTTCAAACATATTTCATGTAATAGGCCTTGCCTTAAAAAAAAAAAAAAAAAGTGTAGTGGTAGTTAAAATATTTTGAAGTTGCAGTGATGGACATGTATAATAGTTGCTTTTATTTATCTTGGAAAGAGTATAGTTTGTTTCTGGTCATGCATAGAGAGGAAAGGGATCAACATTTAGCGAACACCATTAACATTGTTTTAGATAAATGTGTGGGGTTGCTGTGGGTAAACTACATTGTTAGTGAAGCAATAGCATCCCTGTGATAAGATTTTTTTTTTTTTTTTTTTTTTTTTGGTCACAACAACTTCCTGCAGCCAGTAAGTGTTTTTACAGCATTATATTAGTCACACCGAAGTATGGCTTATTTAATACAAATATTTTGGGGGAAGATCAGCTTGTGTTCTAATTAACATTCTTGAACTTTATCTTTTCTGATTGAATGAAATCTGTATTTGCTGTTGACAATTTTTAGATTCTGTGGTGTCCTTGAAAATAAATAAGTTAATTTTTCAACCTGTTCCAGAGACACACACTTCTAAATGTTTCTTTTGGGCCAGCCTTCAGATATCTCTTTATTAAGTGGATTAATTCCCACCTGCCAAGTGTAAAAATGACAGTCAGGTGTGCACAAAATAAAAAGGAAAAAAGTGATATTCTAATAAATACCTTAACTTGCTGGAAAAACACTGCTGAATGTTGAAAGTGGTTTCTCATGATAACTAAACAGAAGCAATTTAAACTTTCTAGTTTCTACTCTGATTTCTCTTCTGTATGAATTATGAAATGGGAGAATTGTTAAAATAAGTCTGTGTACCTCTTGCGTTTTCAAGAAAGGCAAAATCTTGACATGAACGCTGTGATCTTGACATGAACGCTGTGTATTTTATGGTAAAAACCATGATGAGAAATTCACTTATAACTTGATTTGTATTCTAAACATGAAGCAATGGACTTTGATTTGATAAGACCAAATAATCATATAACTGCTAAGTAAACATGCTGAAATGTCTCTAATATGAGTTGATCTGGCCTACATATGCCAAACCAAATGTATTTGGTATTGTAAAATGGATACCGTAGGTTACAGTTTTGTTGTAATTGTTGTATAGATGAGGCCACTGCGGTGGCGTGGATTTCCTTCTGTTCTGTCATAGGTGGCTTAGTATAAATAAAAAGATTTATACACCTGAAGGAACAGAATCTGGACACCGTATGTGAAGCAAGCAGGAGAGTTTATTACACAAACAGCGCTGGGTGGAGTGTCACTTGCTAAGCTCAGTGAACACTGCCAAACAATAGCTTACAACTAATTATATAAGATGCCCAATGGGCAGATCAAAGTGATGAGGGGGGTAAGGTCCTGGACCCCTGGATAGGTGCTAATAAGAGTAATAATATAAAGTTACATAGTGTTTCCATTTAAACCATGGGTTTCCAAACTGGGGGGTGTGAAGAAATTCCAGGGGTGGCGCAAAGTGACCCAGCCCCACACACAGCCCCCCCTTCAATCCCACCCCAAGTTTTGCTGCTTCTTTTGGGGGGGGGGCGCAAGGGTTTCTCCAAAATCAAAAAGGGGTGGTGTGATGCTGAAAAGTTTGGGCACCACTGATTTAAACAAAGCAGACATCAGTGTTTTCCAGTAAAACAAGTATTTAAACAAAGCAGATCAACTGAGTGTAAAGTGGTGGTGTGTCTTGTCAGCTTCAAGAAGATATCTCTGCAGGATGTGGTCCATTGGGAATGTCTGTGATTCATCTGGGGATTAAAGTCTTGTCCTGCCTCCCATCCTGGGTGATGGCTTTCCGTTGATGGGCTAGACCAGGGCTTCCCAAACTTTTTGACACGGGGACCAGTAAATCCATTCACGAGCTTTTGGAGGACCGGTAACATATTTGCATATTCAATAAGCAAATGATGAATATTCAAATAAGTTGTTTCTGGTCCTCCTAAAGCCCTCAGTGCCTGAGTTAGCAAAGCTTTTGATACAGTCACCCACAATATTCTTGCCAGCCAGTTAAGGGAATATGGATTGGATAAATGGACTGTAAGATGGACAGAAAGCTGGCTAGATCAGGGTTTCCCAAACTTTTCACTTTAGTTGGAACCCGTTTTTTTCAGTACTGTCTTTTGCAGCCCAAAAATATAAACGCATATTAAAAAAAAATGAAAAATGAATAAATTTTCAGTGTTTCACCCGGCTGCATCCTCCACCCAGCCTAGGTCAGGGCTTGGGGGACCCGGCGCCACGTGAGCACTTCAGGAGGCGGGAGCAGGAGCAGATTTGGGGTAGGGTATCTGGCTAGGAGGGAGGGTGTAAGGAAGGGTACGGTTGCCAGGTGTCCAGTTTTGTA